TTAATGTGAGCGCGAAGAAAGTAGGCATGTGGGTATGAGTGGAATGGTGCTAAGCATGGTGTGGCTGAGCACGGGGTACGTGGTGCTAAAGTACGGTGAAGTGAATGCGGAGATGCGGCGATTACCAATTGAGAACATTTGCAGTGATTTCTACTTGACTGGCCCGACTGTCTTGTAACATATTGGGTTACGGCTATCCTTCCGTGCCTGGGAGAGACAGTGTGAGCAGCCTGGTTCTCGCAAAAATCAAGTTGCTGCAAATGCATGTAAAGAGGCTTCGCACCTATGTCTCTCGCCCTAAGCCCTTCAAACACGCCAAGGTCAAACAGAGTCCGGATTGCCTGCCGCTGCCCTATGCATCCCGCACCCTCCTTGTCCGCCCTGCAAAATGCGTTCACCGCCTTCTGGGTGTCTCCCGCGACAGGGAACACGGAAGCGAAAGCCAGAGCCCTGCGCTGCACGGACACCAAATTCATCAGCACAACGCGGCCATCTACCAGAATCAGCTGGACGTCGATTTCACATGCGCGCTATGTTTCATATTGAGCATTGTTTTTCAGCAAAGATACGCATATATTATATTAGTTTACTGAAGGTTGCGTGTTTATCTCAAACGCTGCGGCATGTGTTTAAGTTAAGCGCCAGCGCATATTTTTGCGTTAAACTCTACCGCATTTCGAGGCATGACTTGCGCCACGGCAACCACGCATATTGGGAAGAGGTCTTTAGATCGGCTCATGGTGAACACTGATGTTGGACACCAATTTGGCGCTCATATAAGAATACTGATTCAAAATGTCAGGTGGCGTCGCCGCACCATGGAACTTGACATGCTGGGAATCCTGGAAACGGCGTCCGGTTCTGCTGAGCTAGCGATTCCTCTGCTACCTTGGGAAGCCGCAGCGTCCGTTGCTCGTCCCTCCATCGCTGGCAAGGGACAGTTGGTAATTAGTGCACGAGTACTTCACTTCAAGAGCGTTTCGAGTCAATTAGAAATGATTTTGCAAATTTGCAGCTACTTGAAGTATTTGCGCAAGAGTTGGATTGTGGAACGTAACCGAGTGGTCGACAATACGTGACACCTTCACCACGACTGAATATCATACCAAGAGCCATTTTTTGTTCGCTAATCTTGCCATTCCATTCAAAATCAATGATTAGTTGCTCATTTCCCATCGGGTCAGTAATATTAAGTAAAAACTGCGGAAATCGGAATTCCAAGCACACAAATTACTAACAATGGTGCAAGATTTGCAACAGCAAGAACCTCATGTTTAGGGAAAAGCGACACAATGAAGTATTATAAATCAAAAAGATTCGCCCCACGTTCCTTCCAAATATTGTTCAACGCTCTTGCTACAACAACGTTCTGTGAGCCATTGGAAGCACCCATCTAGGTCAGACCTTAGCCGCGCGGTAATTCTTCGAGTTTTAGCAGACTGTGAACAATTTCAACAGCCTTAAAATTGAACGTTCAGTGCGGAAGTCAAAATGTCCTTGAAACAATTTACTTAAACAGTGTCACGAGGAACGCCAGTCACAAGGCATTTGCGGCAATTAGTGTTGCGGCGGAAGTGGCCACCCCTACCTTGGTGCGCGCAGGTGTCCGTCTCTACAGGCTCCATGGCTTGAGAAATTGTGTCCGTGGGCGGCATGGGCAGCGCCGAGCCTGCAGAAACCGAATATGGAGTGATTTTTCAAGGCAATTTGGAGGCAGTCGAGAAGCATGCAGCTTGCGCAGAATTTCGGAACTGCGGTTTCGACAAATCGAGGCCAGAATTTTAATTGTGACGGCTGAGTATTTACTTGCTGCTGGATCGGAAGATGCTTTTGCGGAAGCACAAGACAAGGGCTGTACTGGCTCTACAAAATGCCGACCATATTTCCCAGGAATTGAACTAGTGCACGGCACGTTTCTGGCGGTCTGATCTTCTTCTCTGTATTAACCTTTTCAAACCTGCCGCCAGTGAGTGAGAGCGGCGTCGAAGGGCACACGTTGTATACTTTTGATTGAGCTAATATGCCCATTACCTACTACAATCATCGCAAACGCTTGAGAAAAGGGCGTTCGCACACAGGCTACTTCTATCAGGTAATTTATTCGACTATTGTTATTTAGGGGCGATTTTCAACAGAATTCTGAGTTTCCCGAACTCGAATTCAGCTGACGCGCATATGTGCATGGAATTCGCTCCAGAGTAAGCAAAGGTCACCCACGCCAAGCACTCACAGCCACAAATGTGGAAGGGCGCTGATGCCTGTCCCTCGATTGACCATAGTACCGACAGATAAAAGGCTCCTCGCACGTGCTCCCGGATATGCGCACTGATGCGAAGGCACGCGCCGAGAAAGGACAGGCTACGGTCACGGCACGTCTCGAGGAGTCGGCAGCACGTCTTGGACCGCAGCTCAAATGAACTGGATCCCAGCACCGACGCCAAAGTCAAAGTTTTATATGGGGACAGCTGCGTTTTCATGTCTCCTCCGAACGATGCGGGGACGTGCCGGGAGGACTACTGAATACGGCGCGGGCGATCGCGGGTACCACTGAGTTAGTTATTTCCTCATCAAACTCAATTCATAGTTCCATCTGGCGCCAAAACCAGTCGGTTTATGGATATATGTACCATTTGTATAATCCAATGCTCAAGTCGAAGCAGCGTTACCCAGCTGGGTAACCCTGCAGGTTACGTCAAGGGAAAGATGTTTGTCGCGCTGGTGAACAAATGAACAGAAGAGGTTACAATTGATGGCTTGTCCATTTAGCGCGTATTTATATTCTGTAAGTACAAAACTTTCGGCAATTGAGCATGGGATAAGCACCGATTGAGTCCTAAAATTCCCTCCGTGCCATTGGAATATATATCATAATACGTGCGTATATTCGGTCTTCATTCCAGGACTGACGGACATGGTCCACGATCAGAGATGAAAGATTATCAGCAGCAGGTGAGCGTGAGGGATCTTTACACGTGCGTGCACAAGTGGCATGATTCCAGGATGGGGAAGTTTTGGCCACTTGGGTTGTGATTGTGTGACAGTGCAAAAATAATGGTGATGAATTTGTGACATGTATTACGTGATGTTGGAGATGCAATATGCATACGCGAGGAGAGCTACCCTCCGCACATCAAGCCAGAAAGATCTGCACGCACCGCAATCACTCAGTTCAGCTGCTCAGCCTACTGCTATTGATTCAAAATCGTGCCAAAGATAAAGAGCAATGGTGATGTGTGTGGTGCTTCAGGAGGAGTGGAAGGCGAATAATGTCAATACTGACTGCTATACCATTTTTCCAAGACAAGGTCCATCTTCAATTCAATTTCCGGAATCTGCACTTGCTGGGAAGACCGAACGCAGTCGTTTGCTAGGTGGATGAATTTCGATACCATGAAGCAATAATGAGGCTGCACAGTACGCTCCACTTGCAGATTTGATGCGCTTGGACCACCAGTCCAAAATGCGGAGTCCAAATTGCTGTTCTTGAAGGCCTGCGAAGGGGCGCAACGGGGAAGCTGCGACAACAGGCTGACCGCTGGATACTGTGATGGTCCGGCTCGTACTTCTGGAGACAAATGGCGCCGAATCACGATTTGGTCCCGCTTCAACACTGTCTAAGCTTCGAGCACACAGCTGACCTATAATCTTACTCTTTTTCAGCATAGCTAGAGATTATGTTAAATGCGCAACCTTTTGCCAGTAAATGGCGCCCATGTTTCCGAACTCGTCGCCTATTGGGAGATATGAGAGCACGGCTTCCATACCAACTGTTCATTTCCAACAAATGAATCCTCGGATAGGGATGTCCTTCGCGCGGGCGCGATTTTATTTTTGCATGTTTCTGACGACGTTGGGCTCTGGCACACTTGCTTGGGAAGGTGCAGCAATGCTTGCAAATAGGCGACACATTACAACCCGCACCTGGGTAGAGGATTTCTTGCCAAAGGGTACAAGGCCACCTGTTAATAAGGTTTGCCGGACCTGGGGTGCCCCGCGTATGGGATCGGAGGAGATGAACGTATTGTCCCCTGGGAGCGATCGGGGGCTTGACATATTATCCCTCGAGGGCGGCACATATCAGCCGGTGAAGGCTAGCCTCGTCATTGCGAGTGCACTCCTTAACCGGGCCAGAGGGGCAAATTTGGCACCATCGCTACTGCTCAACCGGAGCAGCACATGGCGGCACATTGATGATGGCGAAGGTGGGATGCATAGGGTCGACCCAGCGCGCAGCCGGCCGTCAAATCTGTCTTCTGTGAGGTTCTCAACCAAATACTACAACACTTGAAAGGATCGCGCGGGCGTGCATAGGCCTGCGCGCTCCGTGCAGCAGCTCCGCCTTCCATATACAAATCTCGCCCTCGGACCAACACCATCATGGAACGATCTTGGAAGTGCTGTGCGCGCCCCACAAGTCCCCCGGGCCCTCCTCGGCAGGTCATGCACACCGCCGAGACATGGAACTCCCACCCAGTCGCACATTCCGATGCGTGGGTTTTCCCTTGTCCCTTGAGTCGTTCGAAATGTGGAATTCTCGCGTTCCCAGAATCGGGCCCTGCTGGCGCGCCTCCAAGCGCACTAGGCCCTTGGCTAAGGCCCTGGCGGGGCCAGTTTGGAGGAACGTGAGAATTCCACGTTTCCACCGACTCAATACGTGGCAAAACCCACGCATACCGCACGCACAGGAGTGTGCCACTGCGTCGGATTAATTAATCCGTGCAAATATTTCCACGTTCACAGAATGTGCTTGGCCTGTGCCTCGGCGCACGACCCGCATCGTATACGGCAGCCAGCGCCCGGCAAATACGCGCCGGGTCATCTGCCAGGTCCCCCCGTTCAGGGGGCTGGCCCAGGGGGCCCATTTAACGGGACGACCGCGACAGCCTTGTCGGAGACGCCAACCCGGCTCCGCGCCTTTCCCCTCCCCTCCCGCCAATCCAGCCCGCCTCCCCCGCGCCTGCCCCCCCTCATCGCTCGAAAGAGCGGTCTCCCAGTCCGAGATGGAAGGCCCCTTCGTGGTGGAGGCGTCCTACACCTACATGTCCAGCTCGGAGGGCGAATGCAGCGACTGCTTTCGAAGCCTTTGCGGTGGGCGGCGCAGGCGGCAGCGGACGGGACGATCCGATTCCAGGGCATCGGGGCGGGGACCGCCGTCGCCGCTTTGCGCCGCCGCGGCGCGGTCGCAGTCGCCGTCGACGGGGAAGGCTGTCCGACCATTGCGGGGGCGAGAGCTCGCTTTCCGGGCGCTCGGGGGCTGTGGATTCGCGGACTTGGCTTTTGTTGGAGGGAAGGGATTCGGCAGGGTGGGCGCGGGGACGGGTTAAGGGGTTGACGTTGCGTTTGCCCCGCGCCCGTGAGCCTGTTTGGGATGCGACACCGGTGTTGGAATGAGATGGATTGGGCGGGGCGGAAGAAATCCCGCGCTGTGGGGTGACCCAGTTGTTGCTTGCTTGCTGGATGGCTTGCTTGCTGATTTGCTTCATTGCTGTTTGATTGTTGCACGGCTGTTGATTGATTGCTCGTTGGCCCGGCGCTCGGATGTCAAGAGTGCAGAGTGTGGGATTGAGGAAGGGCTGTGTGTGGAGGCTGCTCGGGATGTGGAGGCGAGGATGCGCTGAAAACGGCGATGAAATGTGGGTCATGAGTTGGCTCTGGGTGCATTTGTGCGCAGATGGGAGGACACTGAACACATCCAGTAGCGAAGGCATTTTCACAAGTTCTTCAGAGGAGAGGTGACTACCATCAGAGCTGGCACCATTTCTGGGACGTCAAGGAACAGTTCGCGGTTTGGCAGTTGTCTAAAAGGACATGGTGACCACAACTCCTGGCATGAAGTTCGTGTGTGCGCAAAATGACTTGCCTTGATGATGTCTACTTGGGCCACCTGCTGCAAAACTGCTGCCGCTGCCAAGCGCACACTCTTGCCACACGCTGACATCCCCCAAATGGCACTTCCCACCAGATCCAGGCTACACAATGTTACACCCAGGTTACACCCTTGTGGGCAATGATAGTGCCCATATGTCCCACGCTGCAAAATTTGATGCACGAGTTGGTGAATATAATGGGAAGAGAACACAAGGGGTGGCTCGTTGCCCAGGGTTCTTGCTGCTGCTGCTGCAGAGCTCAAGTGCTGTGGCGAACAGGAGATGACGGCGCCTGCCACTTGTTGCAGCTGCCACTGCTGACCTTGCGTGTGTCGTGTGACCAGCACGAACAGTGCTGAGCTGAGGGCAAGGGACGAAAAGGAAGGGCTCGCTGACAACGAGCTGAGCTCACAGCCCACCCAGCAGTCCCTGCGGTCGTCCATCTTGCCTGAAGTACTTGCTCTGTGTGCCGAGGTGAGCAGCATTTGTAAGTCCTTCCAGTGCCATGCAAGGCCCATTGCGGGCATGTACAGCATCAACATTGAGCTGTGATGATAGGGAGTGTTTGGACACAATTAATTTGGCCACAGTGATATTCTTGGGTGGTGCACAGTGCCTGATACTGCTTCAGAGCCAAGGGAAGCGCTTTTTGGTTTTGTTTAGGTTTTCAAGGCAGAATTAAACACTGGAGAGATGCTCACTTCAGTGTTCAGACAAACGTGCATTAGCGTGGAACAATTGGGAAGATCCAGATTCAGCTTTGTGTGCCACAGTCTAACCGCACATGAACCAGGAATGATAGGCACCACTCAGAAGCGCAAAATCCTTTGGATACTACTGTTGACATCCACAGGTATACTCTGGGGCAGGTAGCCTTCATTTGATTGATTGTCTCTGTACATATATTTTGCAACATTTTCCCCCATAGTGTCATTGTCGTGCATATCCTGATTGCAGCTGTGTTTGTCAGGTCTGCCTGGGCCAGGGAACTTGGCAATCATCCTTCATTTCACAGCAGCACATGCATTAGCAGCAATGGACAGCAATGTGCTCCTGAGTTCGCGTTGCAATTATGCTGCACAGCATGACTGCCTTTCCCTGGCAGCACCTCCAGTTGTCAGCCTGTACGCTTTTGCGCTATTGTTCATGACAGCAAGCAATTCGAATCCTGTGAAGAAGCCAACGGCAATACTATGAGAACGGCTGGGATTGCCTCGTAGGCCAAGGGACATCGTGCACATCTGGATTCGGAAGACCCAAATCCCTTGGCTGAATACCCACGGCTCGAACTAAGGTCTTTCCAGCTGAAAAATCCATCCACAAGTGAAGCCACAAGTGCAAGGCAGGCTGGGAGAGGAGCAGTGGGTGGGTGGTTGCTTGAGGCCCTTGCCCTTGACCCCACACTTGGCCTCGAGAGGTGAGTGATGGGGTAACAGTCAGCAAATATCGCTGCATTCTTCCAATGGGCGTTTGTGCAGTTGGCATGGATCTCATCTTCAAGGTCCCAGGTATGGCCCCCACGCTAAACAAGTCAAGGTGATGCATCCATTCATCCCTTGTCTGGCCTTGCTTTGCTGTCGTTCTGTCTGAGTCTTGGCATCTTGTGTGGTGGCAGCAAGGTAATGGACGATCCCCTTGTCTAAGGAAGATGCACAAGCTGTCGTAATCTTTGTCTGCCCTTACTCTGGTCATTTTAACCTTGACTGCAGAGATTTTCGTTGCATCTGTTTGGACATTGGGATGTTTCATGCTGTTGAGGTAAATGTTGGTCCCAGTTCCTGGGGCTGGGGTGGATGTTGTGGGCACAATTGTTCGTTTTCTGTGTGGGGATGACTGCCTCCTTTAGTCTGCTTGGATTCAAGCACCTTGCAGGCCCTCGATGGGCCATTGGACTTCAGCACGTATGATGAAGGGGTCATTAACTGCCAATGCATTGCCATTCGCGTACAAATAGTGTTGACGATGCGTTGTGGACAACTGGTCCATTTACGTTCATGAGCACCTCTCCAGACTGCCAATTAACAGAAAAATTGGAGATGCAACCCCACTGGTTAGGGCGTGTAGAGCATGCATATCACTGATGGCCTTCTCTTATTGAGAACATTCACAGCAAGCTGGCCTCCTGGCTCGACGCAGAGAGCGTCAAATGCGTATGCCAGCTATCTTCTTCATCGAATGCGCCAGGGGCCCTGCACAGTGACAAAGAACAGGCCACCTGCGCCATCCTTACTTCCACCCAAAGGATGCGATCAGCAGCTATCACATGCCAGCTCACCGTCTTTGTGCATTGCGCCATATGCAGCATGATAGCACTCGTGCTGTGTGTTAACATGATGCTTCATTCCAAAACGGGCATCGGTACTCTGTTTTCAATATGCCGAGGAGTTGGGAAGTGTGTTTGTCAGTGCTACTGGCCTCCGTCGCTGAGCCGTGCACCCTGTTCTGCTGCACAGTGAGACTGTGAAGAGAGGGCCACCAGAAAGGTTTGCGGTTGAGGACAACGCAAAGAGGTACAAGAGCGGTCAGCCAACACCCCCGCAATCCGCTGATGACCAGGTAAGCGCTTGTGATATGGCACTTACTGTTCAACAGCGGGAGGGCTCTAAAGCAACAATATTTTTACTCGTTTCATATTGTAAGATATATTTCCTAATGGCACATGCCCCTCAACGCCAGGACAAAGCATGCAATTTTGAAGAATTTTCCATGTTGCAAGAACGGTGCGTACTGCTTGGAGGACTTTACAATCAATGAAGAAAATGGGAAGATACCTATGCCGCTGACCACGTGTTGCACATTTACAGTCTTCAGCATATCGAATCTGCAAGAGAGTCATTGCTGTGACAGGAGCGGCCACAGTGGTGCCATGACTATCAAAGCCTCGTAGATACAAAGGTAGTCTCGCGGTGGTGGGGTGAATGCAATCGAAGCCCAAACTGCCATCTATTCTCTTTATCATGCATACCACGGACAGGCTATTCATGCCATTGATCCACGTCCCGGATTGCCAAAGTTGCCATCGTTGGGTGAGGGCCGACGATGAGGTAGATTGCGGTATGCAGGCGGCTGTGAAAGATGCTATTTCTCCAGTATCTCCACATTCGCCAATGCAGAAATGTACGGCACCCAAGGCAAACGCGTGCTGTTCAGCAGCCCAAGGAGGAGGGGGGAAGCTCGAGACGCAAGGTCAATGATTCCGGTGGTTGGCCGACAATGGCTATGATCAAAAACCGTGGTGCCATATGGATCACAGTAACATTCTGAGAATAGCGTAGACTGCACTAGGTGATAATACCAAAAGTTAGTGTTATCAATAACAACATTTCAGTGGTGAGACTCGCACCAAAGATGTGGGGGAAATGGCGTGATTGGGTCCATCTTGTCGCGATTGCCACCACGAATTGGCAGTTTTCAGCGATTAACCCACGAAGTCGAATCGTCGAAACGGCGATTGTTTAGACACTGCTATTTAGCTCAACGTTATTCACCCATGATTTTGGGCGTGATGACCAACCATGCCGTGTTTCAAGGCGGCTCACACTGCCAATGTGCGATGTTCAGCAACACAGCACTACTCGCACACAGGCAGATGCTGTTTGGTTTTACGCAATGGGCCCCTTCGCCTGGGAGTCGCCCGCATTTTGACAGAGCTAGTGGATGCTGACTTGCGCTGCAGGCGGCCCTCCAGGTCGGGGGCGTGGCGGACGAACGAGGCGGCGGCCCCCCGTACTTAAACGCCAAGGAGGTGCTCGAGCTATTCAGGCGGGACGGCGAGCGGCGGGAAAATGAGGGACGCATGCGGCAAGGGACGCAGACCTTCCCTGAATCGTGGGATGCAGAAAGGAGCATGGGCTCTGGGCAGCGACGCGTCCGGTGACCACCATCCAGTCGGCAGAACAAATGGAACTTCCGTCCTTTTTTATGCTCCAGCTGCTTTTCTGGGCCTATTCGCCCTATTTGGAGAGTAGAGAATAATTGGAGAATTTTTGGAGAATAAATCCTTTATTCGGCCTATTCGGCCTATTCAATTCACCAAGCGCAGCGCTGGCCGTGCGCTGGGCGCGAGCTGCGCACATGTATTCTGGGTGCTGGGGGAGCTCGCCCGTAATAAATGAGAAGCGAATTATTTAAGCGTTTGAATTGTGTGGCTCCTTGTGCGATTGATTGCCGTGGCCGTCCGCATTTCGGGGACGATTACGTGTGCGAATGGATGGAGTGACGCTGCAGGGGGAAGCGCACGAGCAGCTATGCCTGGGCTGGGGGGCCTGCAATCCCGGCAGTGGCTGTCGCCCAACAAGGCATTCAACTCTGCTGGATCAAGAGCTGTGATGCTGCAGCCAGTGTCGAATCTTCTTCCGCACCAGGAATCGAAACCGACAGATATGGATGCCCATTCAACTCTGCTGGATCAAAAGCGGCGATGCTGCAGCCAGTGTCGAATCTCCTCGTGCAACAGGAATCGAAACCAACAGATATGGATGAGCAACATGAAACGTGAACTCGTTCACGCTCGCACAGCTTTGCCAGAATCGTCCGACACCCTTCATTGTGGATATTAAGGCCACAAAGGTCATAGTTGTTACGGTTTGCTGGGGAGCCCAAAGTTGCGTACTCTTGTACCCTTCACGACCCGGTGACCCCTTCAAGGCCATCATATTTGGAATGATGGGTGTCGGACGATGGGTGGGGTTGGAGGGGCTTGGGGATGTACAGCACGATGCAGCTCCTCACGTGCACCCTATGCTGCCGTCGCGCGTCAGCCCAGGGCCATCACTGCAGAGCGAGGTGATCAATTGGCGCCCTCCGTTCCCTCGTCGATCTTCCTGTTCTCTTCCGACCTCCGCTTGGCGGCTGCCAAGTCCTCCAGCACGGCCTGCGCCAAAGACGCAGGCGGAAAGTGAGCAAATTCCATGCAGTCCACTGGATTGGCTTGATTCGAACATCGGCGCAGAAGCATGCGGTGTGAAACGTGAGCAGTGGCAAAGCAAGCGTAAAATCTCACGACAGGTCATCCGCAGATATGCAGTGATTTTGTCCACTCTGTTGACAAATTCATATTTGTACATAACGCCCCGTCTATCCACACATTCGTAGATAATGTCTCGTCATATCATAACACCGCACAGAGCATCTGCGCGTCTCATCACAGTGGCATGATGAGGAGAGAAACAAGTTTAGAAAACTGCTGCGCCTGGACAACGGGAATCCCCCGCACCACAATGGCTGTTGGAACATCGATCGGCACGTGGGCATAACGAGAGATCGGGAAGACGCCAGCTGCCTGTTAAAACTTAAGGAATTTGCAGAAGAGGCATGCGCACTGACGAAACAGCGGGGTGATCCTTCGGATAGGAACGGCGCAGGAAACCATGTGTCCATTGAAGGACGTGCGCAAATAGAAGCATCAATCCGCAAAAGAGCGTCATGCGACTGACACAAGCAGACAGCTTGCTGCAAATCAATGCTTTCAGGAACAGGGCCGTGATCTTGCCTTTCGCTTACAGTGTCGATAAAGAGAAGACAGTGCAATGCTCTCAGCTGCACGCTGACAAAACGTAGGCATCTGCCATTAACGTAATTTAACACGATTTCGTGAATGATTCAACAAGCAATTCACCATGAACTAATTTAAATACTCACAACGCAAATTGCGAATCACTGTCCACATGTTCAACGAAAGCGGTGTCCAGCGAGCGGCAGACAAACTTTCGCGCAAAAGCGGGTCGACGCTGTGCTCTAAATTGCCAAGCCTTATGCCTCTTGTCCATAAACAGTGCTGCACGACAACACAGTACTACGCGACAGTACTGCATTACTATTGCCCATAGGCGCTGGGCCTACCTGCGCGTAGGGCGCCCAGAGCTCCGCCGCGTGGACGTCCGCCTCAAGCCTCGAGGACAGGCCTCGCAGCAGCATGACGACCCTCGTCACGAACCACAGGTCCGCGGGGAAGTCGTCGAACTTGATGGACGCCAGTATGTGGCCCTCCGCATCCCCAAAGGGGTTCACGTTGGCCTCCGGCATGTAGCGCGTGTCGAACATCATGTACGCCATCTTGGCGACGAGGTGGGGCTGCGCGGGGGCCTGCTGAGCGCCTTTGAAGGAGACGCCCAGCTGCAGCATGGCCAGGGCGACGGCGGCGGTGGAGGCCGACGCCATGGCGATTACGAGGCGCGCCAGGGACACCTGGCGCTCGAACTGCATGGCCTTGCACTGGCCGAAGTCCAGCAGGGCGAAGCCGCCGCCGGGGCGCAGGAGGATGTTGCCGGGGTGCGGGTCTGGGGCGGGGGAGCACAACGGACTGTAACGGAGTTGTGTAGTACTATATTGTGCAGTACTATAATGTGCAGCAGAAGTTTGCCCCGACAAAAAATTAGCCATTCACGAATGGCGCAATCCATATTATCACATGAAATACTACATTCGTATGAACCATGAGAAGTACTATGTTCACATGAATGTAAATGTGAATTCAAATGAATAGAATCCGAGCTTAAATCGCGGCAATTACCGACAATAGCGGTGCTGTATTGTGCGTGTTTGGTGCTATTTTCGAAGTGTCGAATTTTGAACACCAGACATAAATCTACACATTGTGTAATACGGTGGCAAGGATGGCATCAACAATGAGGAATGCAATACGGAACGGAGAACCCATACAGGAACAGAACACGATGCGGATCAATGACAAAATGAACGAACGAGTATTCTTGAAGCGCACCTCCGTGGAACAGGCCATCGTAGATCATCATCTTTCCATACGCCTTTATGATGGTCGTCAGGCCATCTCGCAGCTTCCCGCGAAGTTCAGGTTCGTCACCCACCCTGGGCAACAACTTGGAAAACGGCTCCCCTTCAACAAACTCCTGCGTCAGCAGCCTGAGGCCACATACGCCAGAAATCTCAGTGCTGGTCAATATTTTTGTTCACTTCACTTTGTTGGTTTGCTCCGCAATTCTTGCTCCCCGCGAGTTTGACAATCCATTTTCACCGGCAGTTGAATTCAGCACTGCGACTCGGTGCCTGGCGTGTTGAAATCGCCGAACTGTACTGAATTTGTAAGTTCCAGAGATGACATGAAGCATCATACTACTGTAGTACTTGCGCGCTGCGAGGTGCATACGGGACCGGGTCATTTTCTATTTTCGAAGGGTTCAGTTTCCCAATTTGTAACTGCAACAAATACCTCAGGAAGGGAAGTCTCGTTCATGCGTCCTGGGCGGTCGCAAGGGATCATTTGAGAAACGCCTGCGAGCCCTGCGGCCTTTGAAATTTCACACATCGGGCGAGCTTTGAAATTTCAACACTGCATGTCGCACTGAAGCTTATGGTCGTTCTTCTCCAGTTTGCACGTCCTGTAGATGGGCTGAACGAAGCGGTTGTTGGCAAGACCATGCGAATGCCACACACAACCCCAGTCCCCGTTTTGAAGCATCATTGCAGGACACAACAATTGGCAAACATTGGCCAGTGGCTGCAAGCGCCACAGCCCGTCACAAATTGACACGCGCCGCCGCACCGTGTTGGTGCAACTGAAGCGCCCTTACACTCAGCAGCAGTCCCACATGTAAAAGATTGGCCAAAATGCACAGCTTCGGACCATGTAAAATCCTGTAAAACCGCGCCAAAACGTGTGAACATCATGTACACTCGCTCAATCGTTACTACACTGTCCGGTCCCATTTCATACGGTAAATGCACGATTCGACGCGATATTAACATGATTTGCAATCGTGCTAAACGGTGCACGATTTTCAAAACCGTGTATTTTGGCCTGCTTTCTGCCAGTGCCCCCCCAGCTTCGCAGCGCTACTGCTCTCTGTGAGGTGCCCCTAGTATATAGTGAGGGCACGTATATATACAGGGTACATATGCAGGTCCGTATATATATACGGACCCTCGCATCATTGGCTCGTTTCTATTGCCAGCGGTGGCTCGCAAAACTAATTCTTCAGTCCCGCCGTTACAGCGGGAAGGAGATTGGAGATCGTGAACAGAATGTTCCGATTTGAAAAATGCACCTCATCTCGACTCTAGTAGAGACATGTGACATGGCCAATGTGTCGCATCATCCCGTTGCCTTTTAAAGGCAATAATGAACATCCTATATATTTACATGTAATATACTTCAAAGAAATTTATCTAAATAGAAGTATTTAGAATAACTAGTGTATTTAGTAAAACTGTATAATTGATACAAAGGAAATAAATGCAATTAAAGAAAATAATGAGTATGTTGATTTGTTTATAATTATGTCAACAGTTAATGAATGAATCCTCCACAGGGGCACATTCATTCACCTCAAATCGGCGGCAGCCGCACCTGTGAGTGCACAGGTCAATTGGGGCCAGCGGCACAAATATCTGTGACGCAAATTCCGAAGCCTCCATCCGCCCCTTGATGGCGTCGCACATGCGCGCCTCCCTCAGGAAATCGAACTCCAGGGGCACAGCTCCTCGGAGCTCCTCGAAGATTGCGTGCAGCTCGAAGGGCAGGACGTTCTTCATGAACTCCGCCATGGCGTCGGACGTGTTTATGTCAACGTCCATGAGGCCCTTCATGGTGGTGTGCTGGACTTTCAGCACGATGGCGTCGCCGCATTTCCAGTCGGCCCCCAGCGCTGCGGCCGCGGCGCCAGTGAGGCGGCCCAAATGCACCTGAAAATCAGTCCCAGTCATCCTACGCTGGATCAGGGCTTAATTCTTTGCGACTGTTCTGTGTCGCCCCAACATGTTTTTGGCGTCGTTGAGTCTCCGAGCAAACATCGAGGAGTCGCGCCGCTGGGGTTTGGTGCTGCCAGTAGAAATCCGGCAATAATGAGGGAGTATGAAAGTACGCCAGACCAATAAAACATCGAAATTTTCTCCGGTTTGTTCTCTAAGCTTGAGCTTCGAATCCGTGGATGCCAGCTGACCAGCGCCAACTAACGTTGCCTCATAAAAACAGGGAAGCAGCCACGCGAATTGGCCCGCCTTGCCGCACTGAGTTCCGCCAATCTTTTGCACGATTTGAGCACAAAACGAATCATGTGAAGCGGAACAATTTCTGTCAACATTTCACACTTGTCGAAAAGCGCGTCCCACCTGGGCAACCGATGCCGATGCCAGAGGCTCCGCCTCGACCGGGTCAAAAATATCAGCAAACTTGATGGCCCGCCCATTTCCCATGTCTATCTTCCCAGCCACGGCCACGTTTCTCGCCTCTGCGTCGAGCGCCTTCCGTATCTGCCTCCATGGCCGTGGCGGCATTGAGTCGAACAAGGGGCTCAGTTTTCTTGTCCAAGGCTCAGGCATCACGTCATGCTTGGACGCCAGCACCTGCGCATAGCAGAAGAGCTTAAAATCTGACGTCAGGCGGCCGTCGGTCCAAATCTAGACACACCAACATGCACTTGCATATTTCATTTGTATATTTGTTGGCATTTCAAGTAAAGTAAGTTGCTTCAAGCAGGCTTATTATTTACGCCGTAGACACAGATCGTATTTACGTTTTTTCGCGTAAAATAGTTTTAACGTTTTCACGGGCAGAAACGCGCAAAAATATGTCAGCACAACGTAAAAGCAGCCCCATGTGCAAAAGGACAGTACACACAGACTTACAGAGTCAGGGGAGTGGCAGCAAGACGCACTGCTATAGGAAGAAAACGAATCTTGTTCCACTCCATTGTGGCCCTTGCCGAGTGGGAGGTGGACCCTGTGTTGCGGGCGCTCAAGGGGGCGAACTACTGATCACTGTACGCAACTTCCATTGTGTAACCTGGGTGTCACAACGAGCCGTAAAAACGTGAAAACAGCAGTAAAAATAGCCTCTTTTGCAATTTTATGTTTTTATGCGTAAAAACGTGTAGGAAAACCCTCTGTTGCATGTTCACTTGTGAAGAGCATGTGTGGGCCGTCGTGCTTCAAGGCAGCACGCAAGACGCTCGCGCTAGGGGCGCTTAAAATTGCTCTCATGCTGAGGGCCATCCACTTTCAGGCTTAGCGAAGATCGCTGAGCGAGAGTCCTGTATCGTTTGCTACTCCTCTCGGCACTGATGCGCGCCATACGCCGAATCAGAGTCAATCCTGTGACTGACGTTGCAGCTGGTGCCATTTTCGAACCTGTGCCTTTTGATGAGCGGACGGAACCCTACTTGCTCTCGCAATTTCTGTTGAGTGGCCCGTACTTTAAGCATATGAACTGCCCACGACGTGCGTAAGCATTTCAAGACGAGATGACTTCCGCCGTATCGCAGGCCAAGGGACAGGAAATCCACATTTTCGGGCAACTGTGCGCAATGATCAATTCTTCATCAATGCCACTGGTTAAAACTGACTCCGCAATAAACACTTAAGATGCCATAACCTAACCTGGGCCTATTTTCCATCCTAAGGATGCAGCAGACGCAAGACACTTTAACAATCTAAAACACTATCAACACAAATTCGAAACAATTGAAATTGACATGAAAACGCAGGCGTGGTCATTTGCCTGTTCGGGGGATGGCCATCGAATGGGAGAGCACTACCTGCGCCACTTTCACGATGTAGCCACTGGCCTCAAGGACCATTTGGTACGCCTTGTCGCCACCCCACTCATGCAAGTGCGCCCACATGGCGTCCACCTCCTCCTGGGTCAACTTTCCATCATCCTTGCCGCGCCGTGTCCTGCGCTTCATGAGCACGTACGCAACGTAGATGGGCATCATGCGCTCCCACAGCACCATGGTGCGGTGCGCCCCCGGGTGGCGAAACTGCACTTGCAGTCCAGCCACCCGTCGATCAGTCATTCAGTACGCACTGACTTGAACCCTGCTTATATCTCCTTCCTTCGGTGTATACATAGAAACATTGCAGATACATATCTGACGTCCCATATGTGGGAAGGGACCAATTCGTTGTCAACTTCATAGCAGAAGCGTGCATGGGAGAACACACACAGGATTGTCCCAAAAGAGGAGCAGAGAGCAAGACGTTGGACAGGAACTCAGCATGGGAATGACCACGAGGCGAAGAATCCCTGATACTCGTTGACAAATGTGCGCAGTAATATCCTGGCGTTTCCTCCCTGACATGCATATTTTGAGGCCATCTGGCTTTGTGTTAGAGAAGATTGTGAGGCCACCAAATGCATTGTGAAAATGAGAAACGTTCAGTGATTTGTGGCGGACGAAGTCCGTTGCCAGGGGCCACCATCACCAGAAGAGATTCATCGTAAATGAAAGTTGCAATAGTATCGAACTGAGTTCTTGCCCAACACTAACACTAGTAAACACTATCGCACTTAGTTACAACAGCGAACTCGATATTATCCGTCAATGACACGCTAGCATTGCATCACATCAAATTTGCAAGGTCCCCAACGCACGAAATTCCATGAATGGGCTTACATGCTCCCGTGGTATTGGGCGAAACCTGCCCATTTCACACGCCTTCCGTTCATTTTCCAACAGTGGTAAACTTGTTGGAGTTCGTGTACTAGTGGTGTAGACTGCGTTTGAGTCTGAGCAGTGCTGCTATCTTCGTGGTTTTCCCGTCGATCTTGGCACTGTGTCTAGAATCTGCATGCCATGGCGGTATCCCTTCCGATGCAAACTATCTTCGACTGGCAACACTCATTCGGGCATATCGTGGTCAGCCCAGAGCCCTACACTGCCGAAAAGCGACGCCGACAATACAACTGAGATTGTGGAATTTTCGCTCCAAGTTAAACTCGATTTATGCCGCTGCCGCACGATGTTCAGTAAATAACACTGATCACACACAGGGACGACTGTGTGGAAAGGGATTAGTTTTGGCAGTGCTGGCCCATGCAACGGGAGCGATTTCGTGCAGACTCGTGCCTGGTCGATTCTATATAGAGACGGACCTTGCCCTCAAGGTTCACCTGTCACTTGTGTTTCGTTTCTGCAATCTTCACTGTATGTTTCTTTATCTGTATAGATTACTCGTGATTCGCTTCATGTGATTGGTGATTTGTACATTCAGCGGCGATACACAGCTCCGAAAACTAGCTCCAGTACTGCACGATTTAATCCATTCCTGGCAAGGTTCGCTGACGCCCGATTTGAATGACCTGAAACGGTTCAAACACGACATTAAAATGCAAAGGCACGACGCCGGGTTAGTCAGAGGAAAGCGCGTGTGCAGCGTGCGCCGATCTCCGAGAATGTAATAAAACATGTACTGAAGAAAAATACAAAATATATAAATATAGCATATATAAAATGCATCAATATTCCAAAGGCTTGCCGCACTGCGGAGCACGGACTAAACTAGAACCTGCGCTCTCCTCAGAGGCGCCCTCGCACCCTGAGATAGGCGCCGATGGCCATGAGCACTAGGACGGGCGTCCCGACCGCTCGGCTCAGGAGGATCAGGGCTCCCCCAGTGCCACATTGCCGGAGTGGCACGGAGGCAAGCCCTGCAATTTGAAGGAGAGGCCAGGTGAAGGGAAGGACAGACCGCAGGGCGAGCGCCCCGGAACACCTGAGCACCAGAGCGGGCAGCCCCAGTGCGCGGCCCAGCAGCTGATGCATGACTCAACCGACGCCTAGCGCCTGCAGAACACATCCTAGAAGTCAGCGAGTTGAACAGCGCTGCATGAGGCAGGCATTTGCCGCCTTTGCACACGAGTGCCAGGCCCTCTTGAGGACTGTTCACAAGGGGGAAATGTCGCAAAGAACGGGTTCGGACTGTACTACCTGGTCCCAAAGAACGCATGTTGGCAATGTAATTGAAAGTTTACAACATACTTCCTCTGTCCAAGATTAATTGTCCTCTACGACTTTACGGCGTTACTATCATACCGACATCATACCGACATCATTTTTTTATGAAATTTCTCCCAAGTTGTACTTGTAAGTCTGGAGCATACTGTCAAAAATTTCAAGTCAATCGATTCAGTATTGAAGATTTGGCAGTACTTTGTATCAAGGATCTTTTAAACATCGATATCTGGGATCAAAAATGACTGAACTTTTCTGTTCGCCTAACCCTCAAAGGGGCTGTTTCCCACTTTCTTTTCTGACAATTTAACAGGCAGTTCAGGGTTTTTGAACCTTAACCTTTCCGATTTTGAACTCGTTTGGTAATATCGAGGCCGTCCTTGTAACGAATTTTGTCATTCTAACAGAGGACAATTCATCTTGGACGGAGGAAGTAATACACACGATAGATTGATAAATTTCAGCAGTTCAATGCAGTTTATCCAACGCACAGAAATCGTGTGACACGGGCACTATTCAGCCAAAGGTCGGAATCAGTCTCCAAGCTCGCATGTGACCTCCACATCACGACGGCGAACAGGATAAAACGATCGCCAGTCCTGAATCGATGACGGACGCGAAGCACCTCTCGCGCCCGCTTTCTTACACCTGATGCCAAACGTGCTGAATCCCAAATTACTAATTCGGGCCATTCCCGGTAGCAATGGCCCTCTGGCTCGTTCGCTCTCCGCCCGATCCACAGCTGCCGAGGAATCCCCACACCTCGCGAAAGGACAGGCGCCACCTCACCACAACGGTCAACGAACGTCTTCCAATGAATGTCCGAAAAGAAATCCACCGCCTCCCTTTTCGCTCGAACAAATGGGAGGGAAAACAGAATAATGATAGGAATACCTCGTGGACTGCGACGCCCATCATCCATGCCCGTCCCCTCATCTCCACCGATCCCGCCTGGCGCTGGTCATGCCCAACCCCGGACGCCTGCCCGGCCTCTCCGCCCGCTCCAAAAGGCGTGGCCTTCCCCGCCCACCCCGCCCATCCACACGCGGCGCAGCGGGCACCGCAGCGCCGCCCCGCACGCACACATCGTCGGCCCGTCGATGCGATTCGAACGCCACGGGCCACGCGCGCCACCCCCCTCCCCGCCAGGCAAGCCAAATCCACCCCAGGGCGCGCAACACCAATGCTGGTGTCGTTGTGTCAACACAGCCGGGCCTCTGCGGCGCAGTGCCAGCTTGTACGCCGATGCATCCCAAGGCGCCATGCATGGATGGGCGGACACGCGGGGTGGATGGCCCAAGAGCCCATCCGAGCGAAATTGGTGCCCAGCGGAACGGGGGAGCGGCACATTCAAGAAGGCTAACGGCTCGCTTCTAGGCAACGGACGCAAGTGGGTGACTGGCTGTGCCAAACGGGACCCCGTGACAGCGGCAGCCCACAAATCTTTCTTGATCGGTTGGATTGGCAGCGCGACTCGCCTGAGACGCCGACTGGGTGCTCGCCAAGTCGCCCAGGGACAGCCCTTTGGCCACCGCTTGCCGCAGGTGAGGTGCGCCCTTCGCGCCCGTCCCCTTGAACGTCGCCTGGGCGCGCCCCGAGGAGCGCCTCTGGGCCATTATGGGCGTTGCGCGAGCGGGGGGCGGCGATTCAGGCCTCCAGGGATCGGCCCGCCCGGCTGTCACATCGCTTTCGTGTGTGCCGATTTGGCTGGGCACCGATTGCAACACGAACAGGAAAACCGCGGCAGAAACAGGAAGCAAACAGAAAAACCGTTGCAGAAAAGGGAAGAGTGTCCAACGATTCGGCTGCAAAAGCCGAGCCTGCGGCACTCAAGTTTCTGTCGGCACGAATCTGTGTGCTGCCAGGTTCAGGAATGGGGGATGGCGATCATCGAATACAAAAGGCAGTGAACGTTAATGTCCAGCCGATGGAAATTTTGTTTAGGGTAGACTACAAGAAATAAAGGCTGCGGCGCCCAGTGTTGTCTGCAAACAAGCCCTTCTGGTTGAAAATGCCAGCCACACCAAGGTCTACAGATCACAGGCAGACTCTGAGCAGGGTTGGGAGTACTGATATGGTCGAAAATAGTAGCACGAAAAATTGCAAGTGTAACGTGTATGATTCCTTATTTTATTCTAAGTCCAAAAACTACTTTTATGATATGGAAAATTTTTCACCATCGCAACCTCACGTCATGTGAACTCAACCAGTCAGTATTAGTGTTTGGCCAGTGCATGGCGACCAGCAGGGATGACGTCATGAAAACCTCTCACACTCGGCCCACAGAAGAGCACAAGGTGGCCATTGCAAGCTTCTTACACACATTTGAGCGAGAGTCCACCGTATATCATTGACCGATGGCGACACCGGGATCTTAACGACATGCAATTTACACGTTAATTGAAGTTACGTCGGTCAGTATCCGTGTACGACCATTCCATGGCGCAGCTCATGCAAGGGCGCCATCTCTTCCCTCGCTGCGTTTGGCACATTCCCACGGCACACAGCAGCCCCAGATTGACTGATGCCAGCCAGGCGGCCAGAGTTCATCGCCGCCTGTCACGACCACGCCACAATACAATCACCTCCCCCGCTGGGCTGCGACATTCGTGAACAGATTCGCTAATGTATTCAAAGCCCTTTCTGGCTGCACACGCAGGGAGCCCAACTCCCCAAGTGTCGCGACGGGCGATTCGTGGCTCCATGGATTGCAAGTCGCAAGTAGCGCCCATTAAACTTGCCAGATCAAGCTGAACATCGTATAAGTGTTCTGAAAACATCGTAGTATCGGCCGCTCGTCTTCCTCGCCTCACTCTTCTCGTAATCCTATGCACATGCAAACGAAGCGTAGCCTGATCACAATGGCGGATTCGCAGCAACAGAATGTGGCAGGCCACGTCATAACAAGTGCAGTGGGTGAACTAAAACTTCGGCGTCGTGCTCCTTGAAATTTGTGAGAAGAACGCACGGATGCGCCTTGTCCGAAATCTGTGTGCAAAGAGAATGAGCCCATGAAGTTTCTAGAGCCGCGTTGTATACAGTCGCAGTGGCAGTTACACGGGTATGCAATTTTTTTCTGTGTGCGCTCTCATGTCGTGGCATCAAAACGCGAAACACAGCTGTACCTTGTGCCCTACTTTCCGAACAAAGGGGATGTAGCTCATGCTTATGGCACGAGAGATGATGCCAAGGCCACCAGCTGCGAGGAGTGGCCGCTGAGATAAGCAGGCAATGTGGAATCACGCTTTTTCCGCCAAACCGGTGTAGTACATTTCATTCTCAGGGTGGCTGGCCAGGGCCTGGAGCTGCCACCCGTCACATTTCTAGCCAAGATCAGTCGCCTCAGCGTTTATTGTTCAATGTTCTCGGACGCACCCACTGATGAGTCTTGATCATGCTGGCCCACTATACAGGGCCATTGTTTCTGGATCACATACTTTATGGCAAAGAAACTACGCTCCCCTTGAAATTTCCCTGACGATTGCAAGCGGAATATTACACAAGAAGAGCGGAAAATGCCGATAGCGGCTTTCCTAAAAACAACGCAAGACGCCACGCGTTAGGCAGCCCCTTCGCGACGACAATTTTTGCTGGACTGATGTCCACACTCCAGGTGACTGAGAGGGGCTGTGGATGCGACCAAGACCCGCACGCAACAACAGGAATGTGCTCCCAAGAATGAGCAATATGCACTTTGTTCCCAATGCCGACCCTGGTGTGCGGTCATTCTGGGACCCCGATTCTCATCGCCCGTTCCTCGAAAGAGCGAGCCCCTTCTCCCTTTGCGAAATGCGGTGATCTACTGACCAAGGCAGGCAGGGCCGAGGGGTGCCGCACCCTGGCTGGGGACCGTAGGCTCGAGTACATGGCAGCGGTTTACAGCAGAGCACAGGAACAACAGGAATTCTGCCCCTAAACCCCAGTCCGTTCATCAACGTCCTTAATGCAATTCCCAACGCCTCATCACCTCTATATGCGCTCAGATGTTAATAATACTCAATCAGTTCCAATTGTAACAGTACCGATACAGAATGCCCGAGGTCCAAGTTTACAATTTTCCGCCCATGTGGTGGTGAGGGGGACAGGGGAGAAGCGCACGGCTAAAGATGGTGCTCCAGATAAGAACCACTGAAGTGGAGACGGCGACGGAGGCCCTATAGATACATTATGATTCATTGTGTATCATAAGAGCATGTTTATGAATCGGTGCTATTGCACAGGCGGAGCTATCTAGGGGCGGTTCTCATTGGCTGCCGTGCCAACTTACTAAGGGAAGAAACTGTTTTGATTATGGTACGCTTAACGACATGTTGACGTTAAGGGGAGAAGGGGGGCCAGGCGCTGACGCTGAGAGAATATGTGATTGCACCAAAATCAAAATAAGGTGGGAAGATGCACAAAAAAGCCACCGATCAGCGGCAAATATATTTATGTACCTCATAACTACATGGTATATACCTCATAACTTTTTGCAAAACCTCCCCCAAACTTTCAATCATCCAGTTAGTCCTTAGAATGGATGAATTTCAAGCTTTTGGGCTGCCCTCATTGCCCATCATCGCCTTTGGCATCACAGTTTTCAAATCACCGCAATCGCTGCAATTTCAGCGTTTTTTTCCCTTAGTTTTAAAGTTGTACTGCATTGTCAGGTAGTGTTGCTGAGTCATCATGGCATCAAAATAAGTATTGACGCTGGGGGGAGGGGGGTGGGGTTTTCTGAGCTTAACGTCAATTTGACGTTGGCATACCAAAATCAACATAATGTCTTCCCTGGGCGGCATTTGCCAAATAGCACCGGTGCAATTGCTCCCCTGCCCATATCCGCAATGGTGGGCGTTATTCCTGCGCCGGATGGCGTCATGGCAGCAGGCTTGGTTTTTACGTTTATGTTTACGTTTTTACATAAAAAAACGTAAATTTGCAGAAGGGCCTGTTTTTACGGCTATTTTTACGTTTTTACGGCTCCCTGGGACGCCCAGATTACACGATGAAAGTTGCGTGCAATGATCAGACTTCTGCCACATCCAGCACTCACAACACAGTGTCTACCTCGCCCTTGACAAGGGCGATGATGGTGTTTAACAAAAACTCGTTTTCTGCTCCTTCCAGGGCGTCTGGCTGCCACTCTCCGGACTCCGTAAGTCTGTATGTACTGTCCTTATGTACACTGGGCAGTTTTTACGTTGTATTTACGTATTTTTACGCATTTTTATGCATAAAAACGTAAATACGATCAGTTTTTACGGCGTAAAAACCAAGCCTGCATGGCAGCACTACAATGTTCTGCGCGAATAGCACCAAGTGCAATTCCAGGGTGCTATTTGGCCTCGAGCGCTGCTATTCGGGCCCAGAGTAGCACTGCTCGGCGCCGAATAGCATCGGCGGTGCTATTGGGATGCTATTGCTCCCCAACCGTTAATGATAGTCTTTTCACGTGCGGTGCTCGTAGGATAGCCGGACAGCACCGCCGGGACAGTAGCACCCCCCGATAAAGATGCCCTAAATACCTTGTATCTTGAAGCCAGCTCCCAGCCGCCCAATCGTGACCCTTGTCCCTCTCTGTATCAATGATCCGTACCGGGAACAGTGTGTGGCCCAAACCGTCCCCTGGGTACATTCCCAATGAAGCTCCGCTGAGGTTGAGCGCAAGCACTCGACGACAACCTGAATCATGCGGGTTGCCGCCCCGGCCACTCTGAACAGCCCCGTCCGGCCGCTTGCCGTGCGCAGCGTCGATGGGCCGCGCTTGATCGCATCCCTTGCGGTGAGTTTTCGCCGGCGTTGAGCTGCAGAGTGTACGCCCTCGACCGCCCATCGCTGCCTATTGGCTATCGCGCTTGCCCGGTGGACGATGGTGGTGGCCAGATGGCAGGCGCACATAGAAGCCATGACATTTGGAGGGCAGGGAAAGGCGGATTCGTCATCGGCAGAGGTCGTCATCGGATTTGAGACCGATGATCGCAGAAGTCATTTCGTCAACCAAGTTGAGCACGAGAGCGATCCCACGGTTACTGTGACTGTTGCCAGCAAGATATGCAGGTAGATCTGATGGTATTATGGAAATGGGTTTCTGGTTCCTGCATGTGTTGTGCTGCTGGCCATCAGTTGGGCAGAGAAAACAGTTCGCTTTTCAACACCCACGTTGGCGAAATTCCGGATGGATCCGTGGAACAGCAAGCAACGGGTCGATCAGGAGCTGTACAGCGCCTTGTGCTTGCGGAGCTACAGGGTAGCAGACCAAGAAGTTGAGCTTAGAGAGGGCCAAAGTCAGTGATGGTGCAAAATGAACTGGGTAATTGGGCAAGCAGTCACAAAGCGGTAATGTGCAGCAAATCGATAAACTGAATGATATGACAGCAGCAAAGCAAGTTGTGAGTTTGTTCACAGCAAAGATGTTCTGCTGCATGCTGGACCAGGTATTAGTGTCTAAAATTTCAGAGAAATGGAGTGGCATCCTCATCTGCTGGTGTGCAGTTGTGCTGCTATCCATTCATGAATAAATTTTCAATGAATTCAGATCAGTTGATGCGCATAGCACATTCAAGACTGGCATTAGCATCCCTTGGTCTTGCAATGGCCTTGGGCACTGGCATCTTCTTGTATAGTGGCAAAAGCCTCTGGGACCATTCAGTCAAAATGGACATCTGATCTCTTGAACTCACTGCTATGGCAGAGAATGGTCTCGAGGCTCGCAATAGAGTGGGCTAATGCTAGGGGTAAAGCCAGGCGTTTGAGGCACGTTACTCCTATTTGCAGGGCTTCAGATTCAATGCCTCGGTCCACAGTGCAATCAGCGGCCACGCAATACAACATCGGTGCCCGGCATTGCTGCAGCACAGAATTTCAAGAGTGTGCCACACAAAACACAGGTGGGTACCAGTGATTTTATGAAGCTTCGTTGAAGGGAAAAGCAACAAAAGGGACAGATTATTCAGTTTCTGATCCCTATTTGCAGTGCCACTGTTCAGGAGGAAAGGAATTTTCTGGATGCAATAGGTAAAGCAAACTTTCCTCAAAAAATATTGTGGATAGGCGAATGGACGACGTCACATTGTATGCGCTAGTGAAGTTGTCTCATCAAGTTCTCACAATCCAGCTGCTTGACTCCACAATGCAAGATTAATGCAATGCTGCAGAGAGGATCTTTTCAGACCTTGTTTGGCCCTTGCTTGTCTTTTCTATAACTCATAGTCATGTACATCTCCAGATGTTGCATTTATTCATGTGCGACTTAGATTTCCAACATCAATTGAATGCCTGAAAATTGGTGCTGAGGCTCAATTTTTCATGTTCGTCCCTGTCTTGTCTGTCTAACTTGTTCCCTCTTTCGCAGGCCCAGTCTACAAAAATGTGGCGCTAAACCTACCGAAGGGGCTGAAACTGATGAGCCCTCAATTCTGCCATCCATCGGATTATTTGTTTTCTGGATTGGGATCACAGGTGCGTTTCTCACGAATGCCCAAACAGAACTGGGGTGCAGATCCCTGACACCACAACCCACATCTCCTGTATATCCGCTAATGCTATCACTGTCCACATGGATATTCACAATTCACATGAACCCATGTCCATAATTGTGAAGGAGACCAGGTAAGAATTGAGGACTTGAAGAGGGCATCAGGAAGTGATATCACGCTGTGTCCATTCCTGGTCGTGCATAACTATTCTCTGTCACTCCACTGTGCATGCAGGCCATCTGTTCCGCCGCCATCCCTTGCATTCAAGTAGTGATGCGTCTTCTGGCTGACATCGCTGCTTTCTTTATGTAAAACCTGTGAGCTCTTTACCTGTTAGCATACCTGAAGCCCCAACACAGAAACTACTAAAGAGCTTGCAGTGTTAGTTAAAAGCTTCCGCGATGATGGAAAGTCAATGTGCCTGAAGACGTGCCAATGCATACAGCAGCTGTTTGCGCTCCTGTTTTTGCTTTTTTCCCTTGAACACTTTGCAACATTCATAACTTATTTACTGCTTTTGTTGAACGTGCTCGGGTCTGGCCCTTTCAGGGTATGCGTTCCTTCTTTCTCCGAATCAGACGTCGCTGACCGATGGGGAAACGATTCAGAGGATAACTGGAATCTTGAAAGATGACGTCACACCAAATGCAATTTTTTCTGCAATCTTTACGTTGATTGGTGTATACATTATACTCTACACCGGACTACTGATACCATCTGGTCGCAGCAAGAACAAGGTGAGCAGGAATGACAACGTTTACAGCCTCTGATCTGCGGATCCCTGTGAACTGGATTTGGAAGAAATGCATTATTACTTGAGAGCTGATAATCTGCAGTGTCCCTTAAGCGAAGCCTGGCCAACTCAAATTACACAGACGTTCATGGAGCTTGGAGTGACAATGCAGTTTGGCTGTTGCAGAAGGGATTGTTTGCATATTGCATCCGATCGCTGCGCAATTACACATGCCATAAGCAAATTTGCTGCAGTGAATGCATTCCTGCACTTTCTGGCAACAAACTACATATGTCAGAATGCCATGTTATCGACCTGTGGCCATAAGGAACTGCAGTGTCGATAGGACAAGTGGGTTCGAACCGGAGTCCTGTGTGCATGCCATGTGGTGATGACCGTGGCATCGATGGATTCCGTTCATTGCGCTCTCACACCCACCCCAAAGCACACCCCTGGTGGCAGGCGATGACGTGCGCAAATGACTTCCCAAATGCTCATCTCCACTCCTGGCGCTGCTGCCACAGAGAGGGCAATTCCGCTTTCTGTTCCTCTGTTTTACCTTTTTTTGGTTTATCTTTGGTGTTAAATCCATTGTTTTCCGCGGCCAGGTGCCGGCGTGGCCGTTCATCTTGGTCTCCTTGGCTTTCGGCTCCTATGCCTTGATGCCCTACTTCGCGCTGTGGCAGCCAGACACTGAGATCACCGGGCCTCCCAAGAAGGCGGACCTCGTGAGTGCACGGCCGCCTGACTCACTTGTGTGTCGATGCATGTGATTTGGTGCTGCCAACTTCGAGGACACGCATTTCAGCAAAGGGGAGCTAGCCCATAATTGCACAATGCCTTGTGCTAACATGTACATACCGTTACATTGTTACTGTGCTAAACATGCAGCCATGATAATTATGCCTCACACGCAGGAGCCCCCCGTCCAACGCTTTCGATGGGCTCCTGTAGCGCGTCATTAAGCGCACAGGATGCCGTGCACACAGATGTTCTCACCATGTCTCAATCGCAGTTCCGCCTTGACAACACACGTCAGTCGTCTTGCCGCCGTTGCTCCTTGCACAGCAGTCGCGGGGGATCCATGCAAATGCACATGCCCTTTCTTGCAATCACAGGTTCCGCCTGGCATCGCAACAGAAAGCCATGGTACCCAAGGTAAAACGCACGAATCAGGCTGGTAACAGCGTGTTGCGCACACTGTTGCCCGATTGATCACTTCAAACAGTGCCCCAGCTCTCACAAAGCAGGATATGAAACCGGGGCTTGAGACAGCGGACGGCAATACCATCCTGGCATTAAGCCGACACGTCCAATAAATCCATGTGGATTGAACTACGCCTGTCCCCGCCAATTGAACCGCCAAGGTGCAAGCTGTGGGCCACATTAGGCAGAATGCAATCGGACGATGTGACGCCTTGGCCCTGATATCTGAACGTTCATTTGCCGCATACTTCACAACAGGAGGGATGGAAGGCGTTGCCGCAGAGCGTGCTCGAGTCCAGGCTACTGTGGGTTTTGGGTCTGCTCTACACCCTGTACACCAGCAGGCTTCTGATTGCGGACGGGGGCGTGTACGGCGAGTACTTCGAACTCCTGTTCAAGAGCCGAGCGGTCCACGCAACCACCATCGACACCATCCTCCTCTACGCCTTCACGCCATTTTGGATGTCGAACGACGCCACAGTGAGGGGATGGAAGGGGTCTCAGGGACTGCTCCTCTTCTTGAGTTTCGTGCCTTTGATTGGCCCCTTGGTTTACATGATACTGAGACCAAGGGATGAGTAAGTCGGCGGGACTTGGCTGTGGAGGTGTTGGGCTTCAGGGGCACATGTGCAAGCCGGATCTGTGGCAATGGAGAATGTTTCTGCACATATTTTTTTGCCTATGGCCCTTGTCCCCAGCAGCTTGCGGGCAAGTCGTTGGCTGGCCCTAGCACTATGGACAGTGCGCCACAACTTCCAGGGGGCGAGCTCACAGCATGCACAGGTTGCATTTCCAACGTGGTGAACAGTTGCTGTTCGGGGCTCCAATTAATGCAGAAAGATTACATTATAGACACAGCCCCATTAGTGACACTCAGCTGGCACCCCATGAGGCCCAGGACTAGTGGCAAGTAGCCCAGACTCCGCCCAGGATGACTGACAGCGTCAGTGACACCACCTCCCTGCCACCAGAATGACGTCACAGGGACCCAGGACGCTCTGAGGGGCCACAAGACCTGTCAGCGTAGCCACCGTATGCTCGAAGTAGGCCAGAAGCTCCATCCACCACGCTGGGCAATGTACAGAAACCCACGCAGGACCATGGAAACACCAGCGAGGTGCCACTCGCCGCAATGTATTGGAGCTCCACCCATCGCCTCTTCGTTGCTCGGAACGGCTCAGAAACCCATGCGCGTGCGGCAAAACCAAGCCAAGTGGCTCAGAGGGATATGCCAAGAAGCTCCATGTTGAGAAATCAGAGCAACGCCAAGAGATTGCGCTGCGCGACTAAGGGACAGCCATGTGGCCGTGGGAGGCCCATCCCATCCATCCGGCCGGATTGCCGATCTCGGCAAGGCAGGCTAAATGTAGCTGGGGGAAAATACGGACAGGTAGAGGCCTTACAGCCTGTCCGGGTAGAATGCAAGTGAAAGGTGAGGACAACGAATGCGCCACATTTTCATGCAGCCGGAAGCGAGTGCCACAAGCGGCTATGGCTCACGGAGCTGCACGGTTGATCTTCATGCTCCGGAGAAAAAGTGACCCCACAAGATTATGGAGGGGAGGCTAGCTCCCAACCTGCATGGGAAGTTTGGTCGCAGGAGCTTGGGGGAGTGAACGCACCGCTCCTGGAGGCCGAGGGGGCATGGAGACTGTGCGGTGCTGCGGGTGTCGCGTCGGGGCCAAGCGAGTGTACTGCCACCAGATGACTCAACCTGGCATCCGTGGGGGTGTGTACAGGGCTAGGATTGGCCAGAATCGGGCAGTATCAGGCGCGTATTAGGCGCCATCAAGCGAGGGCTGTAGTTTGTGGCCTCAGGCAGTCCGTTGAAAGAGCCAAAGAGCTGGGACACCTGTTTGCAGCTTAATTATGAACCCATTATCGCCATTTTTGGTCAACAAATTTTCTTGAGATTTTCTATGTACTCAGTGGACTATTTGCAATGCATGGGTACTAATTTCAAGTCAATCTAACTAGTCTAGAATAAGTTAGAGTTTTTATTCGGGCACCAAATTTGAGCCTCAATGACTCAACGGTTGAGAAGATACAAGAATTTTCATCTCAAGAACTGGGATTTGGCTAGAAAGTTAAAAAAGGAAAAAGCCCAAAATTTGGGACATGTTAATATGTTTTGTCTTCTACCCAAGAAAGGTAAGAACGTCTCATTTGGACCAATATTGGCATAGATATGGGGGTTTTATAGCCTGACAAGTTTTGGTCGATTATGATATTTATAGGGCATGTCAGTTGGACCCCAGTGATGCCCTATGACCCTAGGATGGGCGATTTTTTGACCAGTGGGAGTGTGGATGGCTGGGTGGAGAGAATTATGAATTGGAGAGAATTTTGTAGCCTCCCCCGCCTCAATGAAGTGAAGTGCTTTGTGGAGGAGCTCGAGGAAGCAATGCGAAGGAGGCTGGAAGAGCCTGGTGTGATACAACAAGATTGTGGGTGTGGGACTCCTGCCCTCTTTGAGCTGCAGACTCACCTCGCTGGGCACCTAGGTCCTTACAAGGAACTAGGCGGGACCACCCCGACCTACTCCCATATCATATAATAGTATATTCTGGTTGGAGAGTTGTTACCGTATCTTGGGCAGGGCGTCTCCCACACCAAGAGACCATTGGTAAGGCGTCCCCCACATCAGGCCAGTGTGCATAACATTCGTTCCCCTCAAGGAGGTGGGACGTCCCCGTCCCGGTGCGTAGATATGGGAGTAGACACATGCGTGGCTCACAAGCGTGTTGTATGTGAAAACTGGTTGTGCATCTCGCCACATGCCCAATGGACCACGTAATATTTACAAGAATAATATTGAAGAGAAAAAGTGGTTGTTACATAGAAAACGTTCCTTCCGACAACCCTCAATAAAACTCTTCCTTCAGCTTGCCAGCTGGAATATCAATACTGCCTATAATATAAAAGTTCTACTTTATGACCTTTTAGCCTGTGTATTTCCAACAAATGTTCATGACATATAGGGATCACCCTGCATGCCCTCCGGCACAACCTCACCAGCCATTCACCCATGACCACAACCACATTGGGTGTAGCCAGGGTATCTGCCTCTACCACGTCTGCGGCCAGAGTTAGTCACAAGTGAACCATCGCTCTGGATCCATTTACCATTCATGATGGTGATAGACATGGTACTCATGTGCCCAAAATGCGAGTGGGACCGGTGTCCTTGGTAACCGGTGTTCTTCTGTGCCCACTGCAGTATTGCCTGCCATGCACAAAAGCACAAACATGCTCATATCAATGTGTATATCTTGTAATGCGGCCAGTTTGCACATTTGCAATAGGAGTTCTGCTATTCTCAAATGCTTGAACTAGTTTCTGTGCATTGGCAACTGCTTTTGCTGATTCCCAGTTGTTATGGTCATGACCGCAACCCAGCCATTTGACAAGGTACTCTACGGAGTCCTGTCTATGGCCACGTTTTTTAGTCCTTTTATCAAGGATGCGTTCGACCTCATACTCCAGTTCCCCTTCAATCTCGATAGGGATTGGTGGTGGCTGTACTCTGCCACTAGCCTTATAAGGCTTGAGTTTTGATACATGGAAAACCCAATGTATCTTACTCGTGCTTTCTAGGAGTTCTAGTTGATATGTGACAGAACCTATCTGGTCGAGGATGGTGAAGGGCCCAATCCACCTCGGTAGCAATTTTCGAGTTCCAGGGTGCTTGAGGGTAATATGTTGTGTCGAAAGGAGGACGTCATCTCCTTTATTAAATGACATGTCCCTCCGATGGCGGTCAGCATGCTTTGACTGCCTATCTTGTGCTTTCTCTAAGCATACTCTGGCCTCTTTCAGCGCTGATTGGACACAGTGATCAAATCCTATCACTGCTGGTAATCCCACCACAAGGGGTGTATTATTATACCTTGAGTGAGGCTGCTGTGCCCTATCAATGGCCACTGCCAAGCCGCGGGCATTCGGATTGTCATAACCTTTCAACGGCTTCTGAATTTGCACCCCGAGAGCTAAGGGACTCCGTGGGTATCGACCGTAATTCAAATAGAATGGGGTCTCTTGGGTTGAACTGTTTTTGGAGTTGTTCATTACAAACTCGGCCATGGCTATCAATTCATCCCACGCGTTTTGATTAGCACACGTATAACTGTGTAAGTAATCCTCCAGAATCCGATTCAAAACTTCGGTTTGGCTATCCGTTTGAGGATGGTACGCAGTGCTCATATTGAGCTACACTTTCCACCTCTCTCTGCCAGATATCAGTAAAACCTGGAAGTGAACCGAGCATCTCTTTTGGACACTATCATAGAGGGGAGACCGTGGTGCTGTATCACATTGTGCACCAATAGGTCTGTTGCTCCTTTTGCGGAGACTTCATTCGTGGTGGCTACAATGCACACCATCTTGGTCAGCCTAAAAACGAATACAACAATAGCATCATGACCACCCGTAGTTTTTGGCAGTTGTGTAATGAAGTCCATAAACAATTCAGTCCATGGCTCCTCAGGAATACCCAATGGCTGTAAGAAGCTTGGCGTCTTTTGATGAGAATATTTAGCCTGCTGACAAACCAAGTAGGTGTCAACATATAGTTGCACCTCTCGTTGCATTCCTGGCCACCAATAGTACCGCTAAACCAAGTCCAAGGTTTTGGCTTGACCAAAGTGCCCTGCACTTGGATGGTCATGCCCCAACTGGCAAATCTCAGTCCTTAAACTTGCTGGTATATATACCTGCTCGCCTCGTAACCAGAGGCCGTCTGTACAGCGCAACTCCTGCTACTGTTTCACAGACTCAAGTTGGGGATCTTGGCGATAAGCCTGATGGATCCTGGCGGCTAGGTCTTCTGCCTCTACATTCCTTTCGACTTTATGTTGTTACCCTGCTTGCGTAATGCTCTTAAGCCATAGACAACCAGTTGACTTTTCCTCCTAACTTCCTGTTCACCAAAAGTTGGAGGAATGCGAGAGAGTGGATCAGCCACATTCTTTTGCCCCGGGCAGTATTCCCAGTCAAAGTCAAACTGTTGTAATATTTCAGACCATCTGGCTTGACGCCTACTTAATTGTGGCTGTAACTTGAGATAAGTCAACGGGCAATGATCCATTACCAGTATGAAATATGTACCTTCTAAATAACATCACCAGAACTGGACGGTATGCACGGAAGCTAGTGCCTCTTGGTCGGTCATGCTATATTTCAACTCTGCTAGGAGGAACTTTCGACTTGTGTAATAGACTGGATGGTTGTCCTCCATAAGGATGGCTCCCACTACAATTTGGGATGCGTCTACAATGCCCTCGAATTGTTTGCTAGGGTCTGGCATTTTGAGCAAGGGAGCTATTATAAAACACTCTTTTATATGCTCGAATATTGATTGACACTCTACGGTCCACTCCCACTTGCCATTCTTCTTGGTCAAGTCTGTCAAGGGAGTGGCCATCTTTGAATAGCCCTGAATGAATTTTCAAAAATAGTTTGCCAGCCCAAGAAACTGTTGAATGTGCTTCACGCATTGTGGTACAAGCTAGTTTTTCACCTTTCCAATCCCTTCCGGGTCTGGCCCAATGCCCTCTTGTGATACAATGTGTCCCAAGTAGAAG